CAATGATGTTCAATTTTTAATCGAGTTATTTTAAACTGAGCTGTAATAAGGGAAAGTTTCATTTAGACACGATGGGAAACTGTAAAAAAAAAAAAAAGAAAAAAATGTTTATTCTCAGTGTGTGCGTGCACAGGGAATAAAAAGAGGAGGGGAGGGAGTCCAAAGGGGAGTGTTGAGGGAGGATACTCGGGGTCGGGTGTCCGCTCGCCTCTGTCGGCTGGCGTTGACAGCTACAGACGCTGGTCTAAAATGAGAATCCTCCTGGGCCGCCTGCCTGCCCATCCAGCAAGAAAATAAATCCCATGTGGAAGAGCCGCTGTGTGGGATCAGAGACAGCCGCCTGACCCCCCAGATCCACTGGGGGAGGCCAAGGGCGCCGACACGACAGCATAACCCCCCCCTCCCTCTCGCTCAGTCCTCCTCCTCCCCTCCCCTCTGGTTTAATGTTACGCTGCCTGCTTGCCAACTCTAAAATTCAGGAGATAGAGGACTGCTGGTCCCACTGTTTCACGTTTTAAAAGGATTTTTGAAAGAAATTTACCTGGAGGTCTTGGGTAAATTTCTAGAACAGAAGATAGTTTTTACCTGTGCGTACAGGTTCAGATACGGTCAAAACAAATGTTTTAAGACCTCAGTCTCAGACTATTAAAAGATGGGCTGTTGTGGTTTCTTCATCCAAAAACACTGTCTGGTGGGCAATTAGTAAAACACACTTTGGATGAGTTTTCTCTAGTGCTTTTTAGTACTACCACCAGATGGATGGTTGTGAAATGCCAAAATTCAAGCTTTTCCAAAAAGACTCTTGCCTAATTTTTAACAATTTTATCCTTAAATTCCCCCCTTTTCCACTTGTGATGTATCTCCATGTGCGTAGAAAAAATATTACTCTCAAGGCCCAGAGTCTGCATCCCCTGAAACGCTTTCTGAAATTAAATTCCACAAATTCCAACTTCGGAGAGTCGAACTCCCTTCAGGACCCCTGAGAAGTTTCATGTCTCGATAAATAAAAATGAGAGTTGGCAGAAGTAGCTTCATTTTAACGATCCAGGCATATTAAAGGCTACTACAAGAAAAGCTGGTCTGAAGAAGCCACTCCACGTAAGATAAAGTAGTTTAGTTAAGCAGTGAATTTGAGCGTCATGAATCGGTTTTCTGTTCTCAATTCAATCAATGTCGTATGCTTCTCAAGTCTGTTGTTACGGTTCCGTTTTATTTTGAACATCTTCACCATCTGACACGGGTGCAAGGTCACACTTTCTGTGTTGTCACTCGATGATCCTCAGGTTTTCCATAATATTTTCACATTGGAGGCCCAGCAGAGCCTGCAGGTGGTATATTCTGTCTTCACACATTAAACGTACGGGCAGGGTGCTGAACTCGTGGATCAGTCGTGTATTTGAGGTCAACACAGACAAATTCAATACAGGGGAAAAGACAAAAATCTGAGTTTTTGATTGAGTTATTGTGAATGGTTGCATCTTTTCCATCAGACGCATGTAAAAATGTTGAAGAAATTCCCCTGACATGAATTAATCCGGACGGCAATAAGAATGAGTGTTAATTTTTTGACGGTATGCACCACGAGATGCTTTTTAGGCTTTAGATGTTGTTGAGGATGAACATCAGAGAGTTTGCATTATTTCACTTAACCTAAGTCAGATTAGGGGTAAAATAATATCATTCAAAGATGGCTGTATGGTTTTTCCAGCAGCTTTCTCAACAAACCTCACCAGAGGATGTGGATTGTTTCAAATGGCAAGACGAAAAAGCAATAATCATTCGATGATGTTTTATTGTAATTGCACTGTCATGGGAAAGCATCGGCCCTCAGATTTGTTCAGCCTTTAATGTCGGACTAGAATAAACAAAAAGCAATTTACAGTTACAAGGGGAAAAGTTTGGAGGGGAAAACTATCCATACTGACCCAGACTTGATCATTAATACAGTCGTCCCCTTTGTAAAATCATTAAATAACTGATAAACCATAAAGTGGTATTGGATTTCAAGTTTGTACTTTCACCACCAGATGCATACATATTCAGTACAATCAAGAAATAACTTGACTAGAACCTGTTTGACAACATGAAGTAGGACAAAAGATCTTAGACAGCAACACAGTGTGACCAGATCTAAAGAAATTTAAGAACAGATAAGAAGCAACATAACTGGATTTCAGATCCATACTGAGAGTCTAATGAGTAATCTAATTGAAAATCCTGAAGGTGAATGTCCAGCCATCAGTACAGAAACTTTCACACAAGGACATTTGGACTATGCTGCACAACAATAAGGAGGCAAGAAATATACTAAAAAATACAGGGTTTGGAGAGGCCTGGTCAAAATCTGGAATTAGATCCAAGATACTGTCAGAAAACTGGTTGTATCAACCTTGGTGATAACATCTGCCTTTAAGCATTTGTGAAGACTCGGAAAGTGCCTTTTATGTCACTTTTAGGAGGGTAGCAGTACCTAACGCTCACAACACGATACGAGGCTCCATAATGAGTTCATAAGAACAGGAAGATTAATTTTCAAATTCAACAAACCGGCGTTTCTTTCCGATTCCTTGAATCTCTCCAGACCTTATGACAGAGCTTCAAATATTCATACTTTGGAGTACAACATTTCCCACTTGCTATTGATATGGTGCAGTGTGATGGTGATGTAGCTCATTGACATCCAGCCATTGGTTGTTCTAGTGATGTTTGCCTCTTAGAGCGTCTGAACAGACATATTGTTTCTCTTCTCTTTCACTAAATAGCCTTTGATAGCGTCTACTGGACACCCAAAATGCTGCCAAACACATTATATGACTCATTTATCACAATTTCACCATTCAAAACCATGGTAACGATAACTGGCGATTGCTCACAAGACAGCCTCAACCAGAAAAAAACCCAATGATGTTAACATGTGTGATGACAAAAGGCACTTTTGAAGGAAACGTTTCAATTTACTAACCCTGAATTTACTAACTTTGTTAACATGTAAATATTTTCCTCTATAAGTGACATAACTTTTTTGGATTCACTTGGTTACTTTTGTGAAAGATTAAGATTTGACTGAATGTGGTTTAAAACAAACAAACAAACAAACAAACAAATAAAAAAACAGCAGAATTTTGTATCTTTAGATTGAGTTTTATGATACTGTTAAATTATAAAAATCCTGTTGAATGCGACTTATGCAGCAGCCAGATAGTTTGTAAGCCCGGTGTGTGTTTGATTCAAAGTTTTCAGTTGGTTTTTTTTTTTTTAAAGAAAAAAAAAGTTGACCACTCTCCGAGCTTGGAGAAGTCCAGATTACAGTGTTTCCCTTGAACCTCTTGCGTCGGTCGTTTATTTTCCTTTTTTTCTGTGGGAAAGTCGGACTGGCCGCATTGTCTAACCTTTCAACAGAAATTCATCCCCTCCTTTAATAGTTAATTACTCTCGCCGCGTCTCCGGCGGCGTCTGGCTGTGGATGACGGGGGAAGAGACGGAGACGCTTCCGTCCGTCTGTCTGTCTTTCCTCTTTTCCAGCAGGGGCAGGCCTATATATTCTGCTGCTCATGTCTGAAAGGCTGGCTCCAAGCGCTAGGGGTGGGCTCTCGCTCTCTGATGGTTTTCCAGTGAGTATTTGTCAGGTCAGACTGTGCACCGCCCGGCGGTCTCCGCTCCTCTCCCCGGGTTATTTATTACCTCTCTCCCCCGCCGGCAGCGCTGCGGCTCCGGGGCCGCTGCCAACAACGGCGCAGAGGCGAGGGCCCCAGCAGGGGGGTTCCTGCTGGACGGTGACGAGAAGGAAAGGACAGAGCTGCACCGTGAGAGGGAAGGCAGTAGTAGCCTGCACGTTGTTGTTGTTTTTTTTTTTCCTAACATAGAGAGCTGTCCAGTTGGATATTTCCTGTGAAGCTTTTGTCAGGATTAGCAATGAAAAAGAAGTTGTAAAAGGATATTGGATTTAGCTATGAGTTATTTATTAATGGCTTTTTAAATTACAATTGCAGATTTTACTTTTTAAAACATTACTAAAGACATTTGAACATTATAGGTTTACAGATAAACCTAAAGATGAAGTTTATTATAACATAGTAATTTGATCTACAGAGGTCTAAGTTAAATGTGTTTAGACTTAAAGAACCATCAGCAATAACGTCAAACGACCTTTTCTGCTGTAGTTCACCAGCTACAAACCACTCAGACTTCAGCTCATGTTAAAGCACACGTGGACTTCTTTGCTTTTAATACATGACAATTTCATATTTTTCTGAACAAATATTCACCCCTTTTGATGTTTTACTTCTTTTTTTTTTATTATTGCTTTTGCAAATCACTCAACAGAGTTTGTCCTTCTGGAACCAAACAGCTCTTATCTTCAAAAGTACTGACAATTCCCTAAAAATACTTAACATAAAATAAGTGAATGCATAAATATTAAAATGTCTAACTTAATTCAAAGGCGGTTGTTGGTATAGGTCAGGGGATGGATACAAACAAATCTCTAGAGCCCAGAACATCCCCTGGAGTTGACTTAAATCCATCACCATAAATTGGAAGGAATATGTCCCCTATGTAAATCTGCCTGGATCAGGCCGTCCTCACAAACTGAACGATCGCGCAAGAAGGAGGCTGGTGAGATAGGACACCAGCTTACCATGACTACGCCGAAGGAGATGCGACCTTTACAGTCGAGGAATACAACTGTTGTTCAGGTTCATCACCAGTTAAAGCTTTGTGCAACGAGAAAGACAGTCCGATCCAGGCTCTACTGCAGTTTGCCAAAAGGCCTCCGGGAGAGACTCCATGGTCAAGTGGAAGAAAGTTATTTGGTCTGATGAGAACCACAATCGAGCTGTTTGGCCACCAGACGAGACATTATGTTCTCAGGTTTTCAGGCCAAAAATTATGAATATTTGGTATCAGCAGCATGAGACACGAACTTTGTCACATAAAACCCAGCAAGACGAGTTGTCACATAAAACCCAGCAAGACGAGTTGGAGTTTATAGTTGTAAAGTGACACAATGGAAAAACGTGGTGAAAGCTTTAGTAAAGCGCTGTACCGCAAAGTTGTTCACCTAAATTCTCACTAAAAGACAGTCAGATCTTACATGTAACACTTGAATGTCAACAGACGAGAGCTGTAGTTAAAGAAGGTTGGTAATAAAAGGCAGAGTGAATTTATTTCAGAAATAAAGATTCTTAACCGCGTCATGATGGTCTAATTTTTGTGAAATTATCAACACTGATAATGAAGCCGAGTCGTTGACAAATCTATGTTGTCACACAAACAAAATGGAGGCCGTATGAGAACGGCGTACCTCATTACTGTAATACGGTCGTATGCTAACTTTGGGTTTTCCTCATTCACCGTTAAACAGAACCATCTACCATGTAGAGAAGTTGGTAACAAGTATGAAAGGTTAGAGAAGGTTTCCCCAGTATGAAAAGCATTTTTTTTTCTAAAAGCCACATTGTGTGCTGATGGAAAAAATGTACTCATTTAACATTAACCAAATTTTAATGCGATGTGAAAGCTTGAGTGTTGTCACTGCATAGGTTTGGGGAACCCCTCTGTGATTAGCCCCAGTAGGTGAGTCACTGATCAGGAACTGGTGGTGGGCGTCGGCATGGGTGTCCCCTTTATGACTAGTTTCACCAGGGCTCTCCTGGCGGTGCAGCTCCAACGCCAACGCATCGTTCGGCGAGGTTTCCATCGAGACATTTCGATGTGGCGAGGGCTGGTTTGATGAACACAGAATCAGAGAGCTTCTCATCTGAAACGTAGCGTTCCACTTCCTTGAAACGGCTTTGTAAACATTCGCCCTAAATGTCAGCAGTTCAAGATTGATGTCAGCAGCGCTGCTCGGCGCACTCAACATGTGGCAGCTGACATTATTGTTAAGCCAAAAAATGTCACCTTTCAATTTCATTTTTCACTCTGAGCTGCTTGGCTGTTTTATTTCTGTTTCTTTAAAGATGAGTGATGGCAGCTCATCTTTATTTTTGCTTTTCTTCTGCTCGGTGTGTAAAATCTTCTCCGCTGTCCGCCTAATCCACAAAACCACTAATTCCATTACATTCCCCTCAGACATCACAGCTCCTTCAGTCCAAGTGGAAACATGTCCGTTAACAGTCCGCCGTCATGGCGGGGTAGCTGCTGCCGTGTGTTTCTGCTGGGTGTTTGCCTGCCTGCCGTTGGCTGCAGGCCTCACACCAGCTCCGGCCAGGCTCTGGACCTGGCCGCCTCCTGCACCGCTTCCGCCTGCGGTGTGTGGCGTGCCTCCTTCCTGTGTGTGTCAGAGGCAGTTTGGGCTGATTTATAAGCTCCTGACACACTGTGCTTTGGACCCCTGCTCTGCTGCTGGAATGGCTATTCCATGTGTCTGTGTGAGATCCACCTGGGTGGTTCTCTGCTGGATGGGGGTCAGATGTGGTTTTGCTTAGCAGCTCCAGGAGCTCAGGGGAACCTGCCCCGCAGACAGCGTGGAGGTGGGGAAAAGAAAAAAAAAAAAAAACGCTTTTAGAAAGATCTGGTTCCAGGCTTGTTCTTCAGTTAAAGCCACAGGTGTTCACAGTTTACTTATATCTCTACATGTAAACCTGGTTAAGTAAAATGAAAAGGGTAAAGCTATCGTACACGAGAAGATATGTGGAATTTAAAACTCTTGAGCTGTAAAAATCCTTTCTGCAAGTGCTTTATAAAGCACTCTTAAAACTTTGGCCCGCATGACCTATAGAGACACACGTCCGCAGGCTTGATGTTGTATATTTGTGAGCTGTGAAAGGAAAGGCAGTTTTCAAAATATTTTACCAATAAAAGCCATAAAGCTGTGTGTTATTTGGGGTGCAGTTACCAGCTTTGGACGTCTGGAGACACAATTGTGCTCTTTCTTCAGATTCTTAATTGGAAAGGACTTTGACCACATAAAATCCCAATAAAATACATTGATTGTGTCTCTAACATCATAAAATTGGACTAGATTGTCAACACTATCTTGTATTTTGTGTATACAACAATCCACAGCCTATTTTATGAAGTTATTCGTTATGCTTTATTTCATAGTGGAGGAATTTAAAAACAAGTGAAATAACAGTCACTTGTGATGTTTCCCCTGATGCCTGACATGTGTAAGAGGTGTTTAGGTTCGACATCTTTGGGTGGTGCTGTGTGGTAACCGGAGACGAGGTGGAGTTATCGTAGGTGAAGTATAACAAATAGATGGTTGCATTCAGACAGCTGGCTGTACCCCACCCAGAGCGTTTGAGCTGCCAGTGTGGGCCTTTGTGGATACCTCCGGTGGCCTGTGGCACCTACTCAGGAGACCACTGCTCTGTTTCACCAGAACCAGTCAGAAATTTACATAAACTCATCATTGGCATCAATTTCAGGTTCTTTGACACTTTGTGATTTCTTTGAAGCTTTTTCATAGATGCTGGGATGAGTTTACAAAACTCAATGATTTTTAAAACCAGAAAAATTGGTAGCCCAAATTTGAATTGTGTTTCTATAATTAAAAATATACTCAAATATCGAATGTCTCTAACCAAACTGCACCTTGATGCTACCTATGACTTGTCCAAGTTTGAGCTTTCTGGACTAAGTATTTTCTGTGCCAAATATTTTAATGCTTGTCTCATCAAATTATAAAAACCTTTTTCCAAAAGGCATCTGGTTTATCCTTGTGGAGAATTACACATTCCAGACTAACTTGAAGGCATTCAATTTGAAGAAAGGATTGTTTTTTGGTTGGCACCTTCTAAACTCGTGTTCATTTTAAAGTAACTTTACTTTGAACTGTAAGATTGTAGCTTTCTGTTCAGGACTGACCATTATCCATTGAGGAATCCAGTAACTCAATGACAGAATGAAATCAACTTTGCTTGCTGATCAGTGCCTGTCCATTTGATTGTACCACGTCCATTTTGTGTTTTGGTTTGAACCATTTGTTGTGGTCTTTGATGGTCTGCAGCGTTTTAAGCTTCTCATGACTTTGTTTTTGTGCTCACTTGTACCTGTAAGAAACCATCAACAGTCACTCTTGTGACACAACTATTGTCTCTACATATGACCAATCATCCTCTGATGTTGGGTTTTCAGCCTGACTCAACACGTTTCAAACCCCAGCAAAGTAGGTACCAAAAAGGGAGAACCAGGTGATCGAAAACCGTTATAAGTGAGTTGAGCCATGTCAAGTTGCGCTTCGTAGGTGCTAGTGAAAAGAGCCATAGGTAGATCCTAGACATATTTCCTTTCCTTTGAGAGGAGAGTTTGGGTAAGATGATTGATACTTGAGCATAGTTGGGTATGCAGTCGTTCCAGACACATGAAAACCGATTTTGAAACAACGAAAGAAAGCGAAACCAAAGCCCTGACTTGGACGATATCGGAAATCTGTGGACTGTGCCAGAAAAAGATGGCTAAAATTCACTGAAACTGCAAAAAGCTTGTGGTTTCTTCAATGGTCTAATCATCCACACATTAATGGGTTGTATGTATATTTTCAGCTTTTATATATAATGATGTCCTATGTAGATGATCATACTTTTGCGCCCAGTTCTGGGGCCTGCTGAATTATTGAGGGTCAAAGTCAATAAAGATCCCAATTTGAGCTGATGTCACTGATAGCGGCACCTTAAACTAAAAGCTTTTTGGCAAATTTTGCAGAATATTTCTACGATCCATCTTCTGTCGAGTTCGTGGCAGGTTGTACTTCCTCATGCTCCCAGTTCATGGTTCCTGCATGCTATTTTCTTTCTCTCTCTTTTTTTTTCGTCGCTGAAGCGCCGTCCCTCGCAGGCCTCCCTGCCGGCCCCCTCTCCTTCCTTCCTGCGCCGCGCTCTCGCCAAGCCTCCGCTGTTTAAATGGGCCAAGTTGAGAAGCGGCGGAGAGTGCAAATCTTGTTTGGTCTGGGTCTGTGAACTTCAGCGTGACTTCAGCAACACCCAGCAGTCTGAATCTCAACAACTCTTTCTGAACTTACAGAGGCATTAATGACGCGGAAGTTCTCAGTTTGAGTTTGGTTTCTCATTAACAACGTGTGGCAGTTGTGGTTTATTTAATTTTTATTTAAATTATTTTTTTATTTTATTTTTATAATTTTTTTTAGATCAGCTGAGAAACTGCATTCTGGTCATATCTAACTCCCTGTTTCCCCCTTGGAAGCAATTTGGTCCGGCTTTATTTAAATTACGCCTCATTATAATCATAATAAAAATATTAAGATTTTACCCAAATGTGATAGGACGAGTCGCTCTGAGCAGTGGTGATCTAACCTAATGTAAGTGGCTCAGGGCTTCCCAGCATGTCGGGTATTAACAGAGCGAGCGAGATTAAATGTGGGAGGTAGGAGAGCTGCGACGCCGCCGCCGCTGCGAGCTGGAAACTACTGAATGGGAATCTATCCGGCAACTTCAGCAGACCGCTCTCTCACGGCGACACGGGGGCTCCTCTGCGTAAAACCGAGCGGCGCGTCTTCCAGTCTGGCTCAGCCCCGCTCGCACGCCAGGAGGACGCTCAAGTTGGATCGGGCGCGCAGTTTCTCACTCGTTCCCGGCGCTCGGCTCCCACTAACATGCCTGCCATCAAGAAGGAGCGGCTGGATGGAGACGACATGGCTCTGACCGCCTTCAACCAGTCCGAATACCTGGCCCCTTTAAATGCCACCGCCATCCCCGTGGTGACCCCGCACCCGCCGCCCTACGAGCACATTTTCGCCCATCACCGCGCGTACTTGGGGCTCCACGACTCGGCGCTGCATCACCAGCACATCCACCACCACACGGACGACTTGATGCTGGAGAGGTTCTCCTCCATCCCGGACTTTCAGCCCTTCTTCGACAACGGGGAGCCGTGCATCGAGGTGGAGTGCGGCGAGAACAAGGCTTTGCTTTATATCAACAAACTGTGTCAGGGCAGTAAGGGACCCTCGATAAAATACAGGGGCGAGTGGCTCACCCCCAACGAGTTCCAGTTTGTTAGTGGACGGGAGACTGCCAAAGACTGGAAGCGGAGCATTAGACACAAAGGTAAGAGCTGCACCAACTTTCATTCATATTGTGGGGAGGAAAACATTTTTTTTTTACCGTCACTTTAAAGCTTCAGGGAGTCCAGTTTGCGTGGAGCGAGCTGGGTTTTTGGAGTGAAAGGGTTACAGCCGTCAGCGCGTAAGGAGACAGATGGGTAAAAGGCGCATGGGTAGCCTCCACACTCCCTCCGAGGCTTTGACACAGACTTTGGGCTGCGGTCGCTCACCAGACCCGGGGGCTTCTGGATGGGATGAGGTGGAAGTAAGACACAGATGCAAATGAAGAGACTCTGCATTTTTATTTATTTATTTAATTAATGTTTTTGGCGTGATGGATCGTGAAGTCTTGCATGGGAGTTGATGCTTTTACGCAGTATATGCTGGATTAAAGTAACTTTAGACACATGTACACATGTTTCAAGCAATTTTGTAGCTGCTTTTGTGGATGAATTTAGCCGGAGTTCTGCACTTTAGCTCTTAAATAATTTGACCAGCTGTCATTCTGTTCTGTTATTATAATCTTGCCGTGTTTGGATGCATTTTCTGGTATATTTGCGTCTAGTTTTTGCAGTCTTACACAAACACGTAGAGGCAGGACGCATTAAGATGTGTGTGCGTGCGTGTGGGGGGAGGGATGGCGCCCCAAGTCCAAACCTCTAGCCTAATAGTTAGTTATATCAGTTCTTATGGACAGATGACAGTCGTCTCTTCAGCAGCCCACACTGGGCAGTGCAATTAACGTGGAACCTAATTGAATATAGGTTCAGTTCATCTACAGGAGATGTGAAAAGCCTGAACTGTTAGTGTCACATGAGATAGAGGAGAAATGTTGACTCCTTCCTAAACACCTACTGAAGTGCATCTCTCTTGGTTTTCAGGAAAAAGTCTCAAGACTCTCATGTCCAAAGGAATCTTACAGGTGCACCCTCCGATTTGTGACTGTCCTGGCTGCCGGATTTCATCTCCAGTGGTAAGAATGCTGCAGTGTCGTCTCAGGTCTTCCTTCGTCCTTGTGTTTAAAATAAAAAAGTAGAAGCCTCTTCTTACTTGCTGCTGTTATTGAACTCAAATGCTGGTTTTGTGTCTAGAGCAAAAACGGTTAAAGGATTGTTGAGTGAGGGCCATACAGCCTCCTACGAAGGAAAATCAACACAAAACACATTTATTGATACAATGCAGTTATTTAGGGTCAAAATACTTGTGTGTTTTAATTATTATTTTACTTCACTGGAAGTAAAGAGAAATGTTTGTGTGTGGGATTGGTCCAGCTTCGTTAGATGGAGAACTCTACCAATTGGATTGTTTGTAATTGAATCTGAATGTGAATTCATGCTTTAGAGTGAATTAGATTTAAATTAGATTCAATATAGTTGCACATAAGGATCTGTTTGCCCGTGGAGTTCCATAGATGAGGTCAAGATTTGGCAATATCTAAAGAAATGGTTTTTCATTTTGTTATTGATTCACATCAATTCTTTTACAGCTAAAAATCAGAGGTCCTCTAAATCTGTTTCGCACTCTACTTTCTAATGTTACAATTTAATATTGTTACAACATTATAAAAGACGTTTAGCTGGTTAAGAGTTGGACCAGTCTTGGTGATATTTTTCAGTGATTTGTGTGTGAACAAAAGCAGCCCACAGGCTCACACACCAACTTTGATGGTGATTTTTCTCAATGTAAACATCAGGTCCACTCTCGGCTCTTCTGTATTGAAAAGCTCTTTAGTTGAAGGCACCGAGCTGCCATTTACTCTCCCTAGACGTTAGACATATTGTTGGTCAGACTCATTTCAGCCTGACTGAATCCGCTTCCTCCTCACCTGTCCGCCGTTGAACTCTTGTTTGCCTAGCTCTGTCCTCAGGGGCTCAAACCAGGGCGCCGAGCCAAACCTTGAGGCCTTGCAGGTGTGTCACGATTATGGCATCACCGCGCTCGTTTTTTTTTTTTTTTTTCCCCTTCTGTGCGTGTGTCAGCTTTGAGCAAGCACGCCGTCAAATCTGTTCACACAGGTGCAGCCGGCTGTGTGCATGTGTGTGTGTGTGTGTTTTTATCACCACAGAGCGCATCTGTCGTCGCTCCCAAGCACTAATCTTGAGGGAAGGGTGTAAGAGGCTTAGCGAGCTACTGAGCATGGCTACCGCTGATTATTGTGTGCGAGGCACGCAAGGCAAAGGCGGTTTTGATAAGCCGGAGGTGTTTGAGTGATATAGGTAAAACTGGTGACATTTCTTTGAGCCAACAATGGAGACCTGCGCCGTAACGGAAAGGCTTCAGCCAAAACAAATTACGCAAGTTCGACGGGGGTCTTATTATTTTGAGGTTCTGAGTGTGCTCGCTTATGTTTAGGCTCATTACAGATTTGCGAGTGATTGGTTTTTTGGCCTGCCATGGCTTGTGCAGTTCCACTTCAATTACAGTTGTGACGGAGAAAACTTTGTTACTTACGTAAGCAGAGATATGAGGGCCTTAAGGTTGTTGTTGTTGTAGTCTTTTTCTACTACTCTCCCTCTCCTTGTGTGGTGGTGGAAGCCTAAAGCCTAACCCACCAAGTTAATATTACCCTGACACACACGCACGCACGCGCACACACGCTGACGCACACACGCTGACGCACATGTTGGCAGGTCCATGCGAGGCAGTGAGGGTTAGGCGGAGGAGGTAAGGCAGCGGGACTTGTATGGCCTGTACTGGCGTCTCCTCTCTCCCCACTGACTGACTCCCCTCAGGGCATGGCTGCAGCAGCAGCACTCCCTCGCTGATGAGCTCTCTCGCACACACACGCGAGCACGCACACACACGGGCCTGCCTACTGACACAAATTACCTCATGCCGACATTTATTTTGAAAGTTTGACGGCTGAACTTTGAGTGATCTTGTTTCGCTTATAGGCATGAGGCAAGCGATCATAAAGTGCAGCAGCTGTTGGGAAGAGGTTTCACCTGCCTGCCCACAAGCTGCTCATCACGACACAAACTTGCAGAAGAGTTCAGAAATGCGGGGAACTCTTGATTATTTGGATCCAACAATGAAATCAGGCTAGAATAAATTAAAAAGAGCTTATTTATTTCAGTAATTGGAGTGAACAATTACTCCTTTATGTTATGACGTCATACAGAGAGAGTGATTTATTTCAGTTAATTTGGCTGATTATGGCTTACAGCTCATAAAACCTCAGACTAATAAAAGTTTAGTACACAAACAGTTAAAAGTAAGTTCATGTACTGTAATCTGTATGGACTCACAGCTCCTTCTGCAGATTTACTGCATCAATGCGGCGTGGCATGGAGGCGATCAGGTGTAATGGTGTAATAGAAGTCCAGGTGGCTATAATAGTGGCCTTCAGCTTGTCTTCATTGCTTAGCGTGGTCTTCCTCCTTTTTCTATAGACAATAGAGATTCTCTGTACGGTTCTGGAAAGTTCGCTGACAGGACAATCACTCTGCTACCTTGGTCATTGTAGCAGGTGTTGATACTTTTGGCTGTGTGAGCTGGAAATCCTGCGGGAAAATTAAATCAGCATCTTTATGACGTTTTTCAGCAGGGTTGCACAATATAACCTAAATTTATTATTGCTGTTTGCAACAGTTTGTTGTGCAGTACCAGAGTGCGACAAACTTACTGGACTGCAACAGCTATTGGTTAACTATTTAAGTATAAAACCTTCAGACTCTCTATGCCTCCCATATATTATCTGACAGTTCTTGTTTAATGCTGCAGAAAAAGTTTTAAGAGGTAAAGAGGTGATCAGGTGGACAGTCTACTCATCTGGCGTTTGTGCTTTCTGTAAATCGAAATTCAGCCACTTTTTAAATATTTGTTGCTAAATGTGTCATTATGAGAATCACATTTCCTGGTATGCCTCTGCTCTGACTTTGGATTTGATGAAACATGGTGGATCAACATAAGAAGATGACATTGCACCCAAATTTCACTGTCTGCAAAACCTTCACTCTGGATCTGAAGCACCTTAGATTCTGTCTCTCTCTTGCTCCAATCTCTGGAAGCTTTAAATCCATTAATATGATTAATTTACTTCATAAAGAGGACTTTGTTTCTGACCATAAGCGTTACAAAAGGGATGCAACACGTTTTGAAGCTCTGACTTCAGCAGCATCTCTCTTCTTGTGGTTATCTTCAAAACACTTTAATGAGTTTTCTTCTGTGTTTTTTCCTTCCACTCAACTTTCTGTTAGTATTCTGCTCGCTTGTACCATGTGGAAAAGCTGTATTTGTAGCATTTATCTTTTGTGGCTTATGCTCCATATGGTGAGGATTTTTTCCACTTTATTGGACTTATGGTTTAATGTTCTGTGAACATAAATTTTAGGGTTTCTGTAGCTAGAAGCGGCAAAATCCCCATAAATAACCTTGTGAAATATTATCACTTTCTGTGCGATGAATCTAAACGTTTCATTCATGGAATTTCATTATTGAAGGAAATTAACTTTTAATAACATAATAATTCCAACGTATTACGGTGCACATGTAGGTGATTCATCTTTACCTTCGGTTGACATTTGGACATATTATTCTATCACAAGTTGTTGGTTTGTCTGCGTTTTTGTCTGTTGGTAGGTCTGAGTTGCCTTGTAGGTGTGTCTTTGTGTGCGATTGTTTATAAGTCCAGTGCTGGCCACCTTGCGTGTGCATCAGTGTGTCCGTGCGTGTGTCTGGTCCCGGGGGAGCTGGGCTTCCTCTGCTCTGTTATTTCAGCGGAACTGGCGGAGGCTGGGAGGAAATTGCACTCCCCTCCTCCGGCTCGTAAAGACCTCCTTCAATCAAGGGCTCCTCTTGGCAAAGTGAAATTAAACTCACTGCAAACACACAATCATAACACGTCAGACACTTTTTTTTTTTTTTGCTCCTGAGCTTTCAGACTATCGCAACATATTTTTCATAATGAGCGTTTGTTATAATCAGTGAAATTACAGATGATTGCTGATGTTTCAGAGTTTTGCCAAAAAAAAAGAAAGAAAGAAAAAAAATATATATATATATGCTGATTATTTTTTCACATTTGGTCATGTTACAATCTCGGACTTCATGCTTCATGTTATTGGTATTTGAGAGTTGGCTCGATCTACAGAGAATCTGTTCACAGGCAGGTTTTCGATGTGCATTCCACTAATTTGGGGCTTTTAAAAAGAGTAGGAGGAAAGTAATTGATGAAAGAAAACCATGAAGACACAACAAAGAGTTAGAAGAAGGTGTTCAGATAAGACAAAAACGTAACTTTCTGGCCCATATATGCTGAAAAGGCTGTGTGTGGTGGAAATCACCCTGAACAAATGGTGAAACATGGTGGTGGCAGCATCATACTGTGGGGAGATAGTGGGTGGAGCTAATTTCAGAAAACCTGTTAAGAGGTAAAATTATTGCCTCTTCCAGTATGGCAATGACCCGAAACCTACAGTCAAGTTTACAATAGAAAGGCTAAAGAAAATGGTCTAATCAAAGTCCATACTTTGTGAATATTTCAGTCTAAGGCAAGACTTGACACAGATAAATCTGACATGAAAAGGTTTGAGGTGTTTGAAAACTCTTTGCGAGGCACCCTGCGTGATGGAGTTAGCTATGGAGAGAGTCCATCTGTCTTGCGGATCTTTTGTTGTTTTGTTTCTGTTGTTGATCCAGCGGTGCCACGGTAATAGCAGAACATTAGTATTTGCTCACTGTAGAACCGTAGTGTTACCAAATATAAATATGCACGTTCGTGTGTCTCGATTGGACAAATCATTCCTCTGCTTCACACAGTTTAGGTTCAACGTGTTCGAGACTTCCTGCGTATAAATTATTAACTCAAAATTGTAAAAAAAGAAAAAAGTTAAACGTCAGTGTCAGTATGCGTCCCTCTCCATGCTGGAAGATGCTGTCTCTATTTGCACGCTCTGTGTGACACCGTATGAGTGCACTGATGTGATTGATGCGAGTGTGAGCGTTTGGGTGTGCACTCTGCTAAAATATGGC